TCAGGAGTTCAAGACCAGCCTGGCCAAGATGGTGAAGCCCTGTCTCTACTAAAAATACAAAAAATTAGCTGGGCGTGGTGGTGGGCGCCTGTAATCCCAGCTACTCGGGAGGCTGAGGCAGGAGAATCGCTTGAACCCAGGAGACGGAGGTTGCAGTGAACTGAGATTGCGCCATTGTAGTCCAGTGAAACTCCGTCTAAAAAAAAAAAAATAGTTCAAAACACTGGATAGTACTCTGGATAGTGACACAGTGATCTTCAAAGCCACAGACACCCGTCTTGATACTTGTTAGATTAAAAACTGTCCATTGTCTGGAATCACACTTAATGGTCCATTGTTAAATATTGGGGGCAGAAATCTGGGAAGGTAATGGGAGGCCGTTTTGGGAAATAATGAATTCAAATTACCTGCTGTCTTCACAAGGGAATTATCCTCTCTTGGCAAGCAGTGTACCTCACTGCGCTGCTTTCGGATGGATATTAACCTTTTAAATACTGACTGTCTTTATTTGCTTAATGCTATTACAATGCCTTGTCTAAAGTGTTAGTCTTTTATTGCCATGAGCCTTGCGAAGCCTGACAGGATATTTTCCCGTTTTTCCAGTTAGAGAAATAGAGGAAGTTGTCGTGTAGTTGTCATGTATTCAGTCCACTTAAGGGCAGTGGGGAAGCGTTTGAGACGGAGCTGTGGAGGCTGAATCCTTGAAGGAGGAGGTGAGAGAGGCACAGGTGAGCGCAAAGTCCCAGTGCATGTCCCCTCTTCTCTCCCGATGCAGTGTCATTCCCAGCTGACCCTGCCGGGCTGAACGGCCTGGCCCCTCTATTCAGTCGGAGTTTTACTACTACAGTGGATTTTGGTAACTTCATTTTGAAATAATTTCAGACTTACAAAAATGTTGCAAGAATGACACAAAGAACCACCCTTTTATATCTGCCCCATTTGTTTTCATGTTTTCCCACTTTGTACACGTGTACAGTTTATTTCAGAATAAACTACAGACATGATACTGCTTTTTCTACACTAAAAATACTTCAGTATGTATTTCCCAAAAATAAGAGTAATCCCTTGTGTAACCACAGTGTAATTATCAAAATTCACAAATAGTTTTACAGAACTATTGTCTGATCTGTGGACCTTATTCAAATGTTACCACTTGTCCCAACAGTGCCCTTCTCAGGAAAAAAAAAAAAAAAAAGAAAGAAAAAATGTATTTTCTGGCCCAAGAGCCAATGTAGGATCATGCATTGAATTCAAGTGTCTTACCTCTGGCTCCATTAATTTGGAACCATCCTCTGTCTTTTGTCTTTTATGACAGTGACATTTTTGAAGGATCAGGGCAGTTGTAATTTACAGACTCCCTGAATTTGATTTATTTGATATTTCTGCATGATGAGACTCACATTTTGCATTTCTGACAGGAGCACTCCAGAGGTGATGTGTCCTTAGTGTGGCACAGCAGGAGGCACACGATGTCCATTTGTCCTGTTACTGATGAGGTTCACTTTGATCCAAGGTGGTGTCTTCCACTGTGAAGTTAGTACTTTTCCATTTGTAATATGACAGAGCTTGTAAAGGACGAAGAGCTTTCCTTTCTCTCTCATATAATTATTTAGTATACCAACTTGGATTCATGGATTCTTGTTTTATTCAATGGGCTACAATGCGTTACTCTCAATGTTTATTTTGATGCTCAGATTCTTAAAGATTTGGCAGGAGGCACCAGTAGTGCAGGCACAGGGAGAACCAGTTGTGGGGCAAAGCCCAGGGGCTGTGAAGGTCATGGAGCTCTTAAAAGGCATTTGTTGCTGAATGAACTATGGCCAGAGGGCCACTGACGCTCACAGCTCTTCCTATGCAGGTCTGCTGTGCAGGGCGCTCTCTAAGACTCCAAGCTTTGAGACTCCTAGTGGAGAG